CTAAATCCACAATACATAACAGTACACCGAAACTCAACGTTGAATCGTAATGTTGCTTATTCAACTAATAATAGAATTGTACAAAGAAGTAACTACTACTGGGACATGATTTTTTGTAAATGGCTTGAGCAATATACTATTTTTAGATGTAATCACGTGAGATTTTTCCTGTTTGTGATCCCTAGCTTGCTTCCTACTGTAGCTGAATTCATGTTAATTTCATTTTACAGGGTGTTGAGGTAATTAAAACATATGGGATTGACAGATTGATCCAAGTAGCTGCAACCCAGCTCAGTGATCACTGATCAGCTTCCTGGGAGGCTGCTCAAACCCTTCTGGAGTTGCAAACTGTATACAAGGAATCCTATTGTCTCTGGTCAGCAACAGTACACAAGCATCCAGAGTTGGATTCTTGGGAGCACTTTTGTCAATCAAAACTCTCTCCTTTAATTGAACAAGCTGTGCTTCGTGTCACCAACACCAATGTTGCTCAGGAGGGTCTTGTTGTTAGTTCATGACACAAGTTACGTATTCCATACATGAGCTTTTTGAAACAACTGTCTTTATTTTACCTGCACATATGAGCCTTAGCTATCAGTCTATAATTACCTTTCATTGGTTTGGTTTCATTTTATCCTTTTTGCTGTAAATTCTCTTGAATGATTGAGATCTCTGCCATTATGGTTTAGAAAATAGTTGGGTTGGAATGATATGGTATGTCTTTATGAGTTTCTTCCTTTTGCATAATTTTGCCGCGCTGTAAGTGAAACTGAGGGGATAAGTACTTTGTGTAGAAAACTGGAAATGGAGTTTACTAGGTGCAGCTAATCTGTTTAAAATGGTTTGAGAAAAGGTCAAGATAAGAATGTGAATTTTATCATTTTTTTATTTCCAGATACGGATTTTTTTAGTTTTTAAGTACAATGATAAATTTTTAATTTTTTTATTTAAAAGTACTAATTTTGTGTTTTTTCTATGTAGGAATTAATTAGATAGTTAAAAAATTATCTATCTCATCAATACTATTCAATTAGTTTTTAAATAAAAAAATATAACGTTGTCAATTTTAAATAAAAAATTAACGGCTTATTGCCTCATTTAAGATTTGATAAAATTTATATTTTTGTATCCATTTTTGCTTATGTGTTAGATTGTCGAAAGGGAAATTATTTTGGGATAATTTTTTTATATAATTTTATGTGTTATTTAAATAATTAATTTTTTTATTCAATTAAAATTCATGACATTATATGTAATTATTTATTTAATAATACGTAAAAATTATATAAAAAAATAATATAAAAAAATTATTTTTATATTATTGCCTCTTATAATATATATATATATATATATATATAAAGCTGGCCGTGTTGTCACGTGAGGAGACGCCAGCAGTTAAGGAGGGACAGATTTGCCTGAATTGTAAGTTGAGGGGATGATTTGCCGGAAGTCAAAACCACAGTGGCTAGTTTACCTCAACCTGACAAGTTTGAGGGTGAATTTGAACTTTTTGCCTTTTAAGACAAAACAATGTTTATGTTGATTTTCTCATGGCTCAAAGAAAAAAAAATGGAGGGAAATGGGCAAGAAAATAAAATGAAAATGGAAGATGATTCCAACACCTTAATTTAAATTTCTCACTAAAAAATTTTGCCTTTCATATCAGAAAATCAACCTGAAAAACAGTGCAAAAGATTATTCTACACTTAATATTTTTTGTATTAAGCCCTCATGTTTTTTTATTATTTATAGAAAATTACTCCTTCCTATTTTTTGTGACACCTTCGGACCCAAAACAAACAAAGATAAATAACTGAAATAATTAAATATATATCCAAGTCAATGGTTCATATTTCAATATAGATAAATAAGAATAATATAGTTATAATATTATATAAAATTATAAATTTATAATTTAAATATATTATTAAATAAATATATAAATTATAAATAAAGAAAATTATCTATAAGAGACATGAAGATTATAAATTTATAATTTCACATGACATTATAAATATATTATTTTTAGTAAATAAATGGACAAATGTAAAACATAGTTAGGTAACAATTGGATTATTGTGTATAGTAGTTTTCATCTATGTATCTTGTATTTTTAATAATTTTAATTAAAAAAATTAA